TCTTTGACATTTTTTAAGGTGAAAATATGTCGAGTTGCCGCCCTTTTCTTTCAATCAGGCGCATATGTAGTCAGTGAATTAATATCATGATCAGAAATAGTTCTATTCCTTTTCAAACTTCTGCGGTCCTGTTTAGTTAAAACCAAACTACAAGTGGCAAAATGGGTTGTTTTTTTCTAATATGGCATACAAAAATTCTATGATCGTTTTCAAAGAAATTATTTAATGCATCGTTATTGTCGGTGTCGTTTTCATCAACCAACGTGTTTTGCCAGCAGAAATCAAATTCTTTGTATTTGTATTTCCTTTAATACCGGTCCCTAATTATGATCGTGGGTTCGAATCCCAGCACCATACTCTGCATCACTTCGGGCTTTCCTCACTAATGAAACGGACACACAGTGAAGTGACTGTCGGTTACGGGGTCAAGGGTGGCCTATCTTAGGCGCAATTCCCTGTGCAGAGTTAATCCCACATTTAGCTGATACACTATGATATAACTGGAACACTGTTCAAGGCGGCGTTCAACAATACTGTTACACTCATGCTATCCCATTGAGGAAAAACACTTAGAGTGCTTGGCTTGTTAAATTAAGAACATATTTCACAATAATGTTTTTTTATGTCTGTTTACCTAATACATCAACCCTTTTTGTGAGACAATGTCCCTTCTGGGATTCTATCGAATGTAACATGCTAAAAACTGTTCAAAATATGCTAAATATGCTGATATCTCGACATTGTGCAACGCGAGTTGACTAGTTTCAACCTGGGGTAACTAGCCTTAATCAAACAAATTTAGTGCGGTACCCGAAATATGACGCATAAAATGCAAACCGTAGATATATAATAGAACATGGCTGAAAGGAGAAGTAAAACACAACTCCTGTTTCGCTGAAGATTAACAGAAGTCACTACCCAGGGTCAAGAACTGACCAAAACAACTTGTTGACAACCCGAATTGGAATATCGTTATCTGACCAAGTCTTATCTCTCTGCCAACCTCGCTTTATGGACTGGCCGTTGGTCAAAGCAATAGGTGACCGGTTAGTCAGTCGACAATACCGAAATGTTTTCCACATTCTGGCTGGGAAACGGTCCTTATGCGGATAAAAGTCGTAATTCTGCATAAATAGCGAGGTGATTTGGCGAAACAGACAGACACTTCTAGAGTTCTCCAGCAGACTCTCAAGATATCCAAGAATGCAGTAGGACGCTGAAACAACGATACCTACGACTTGCTATGGCCCTCCGGTAGTGAAGATCAATCTGAGCGTGGCGATGCCATCTTAAAGGGGCACTGATCTAACGCAATTCCCCGGGACTGGTTGTTGCCTTTGTTATTGTTTTTTCCCAGTGAGTACCCGGATGTATAGCAGAAATCTAGACTAGTTCGCGACCTCTGCTGCGCCATTCGTAAGCGCATTAGTCACTTGTATGGGTAGTAATAAGGGCGTATGGTCACATTGATCAACAAAATGAAATACAGTTTTCGAGATAATAAGGAAATGTAGGTATCTTTGTGGGTAGCATCGGTAATGGTGACGAAGTTTTGATAAAACACTTGCTTGGTAATTTTGCGATTTTCGTTTACACTATTTTGACTTGCAATACAAAGTAAATATTTCACCTGAGCATTGCTTTTATATAGTGTGTATATTTGTTTACTGTCAAAATGTGTAACATTTTCAAATTTATTAAACGCCTAAATATTCAGTTATTTTACAAAGTGACTGAAAAACATTTCCATCTGTATTATTATGATAACGAATTCCAAACATTTTGATGTTTAATGTCATCACCAAGAGACTGAAAATGTTACGTTGAAAAGTACATTTCTATGTTGTTTGGCTTCTAATCCTACATAATAATCAGTTGTGATGTTTGTAGGCCCTTTTGATCGTCTTAATCAATCTGGACAGATTTTTTAGTCAAAATGACTGAAATATTTACACATTTTATAAATTGCCTGAGAGAATCACATTTTACAAATTGAAGGTAATATATACACGCTTACAAAGGAAAAGGCCTGTGAAAACAACGTCTATCGCGCATTGAAGAATTTCCCAACCAAGACGTAGAGGAACAAGGACGAATCGGTTCAATGCTACAGCAAATGAAGGAAAACAAAATGCAAATACCATAATTACAACCTACCAAATTTATGTGTATAAATTTTAGGCAGCTTCCTTGTTCGAGGAATGTATCCATGAATATCCAGACAAAGGAACAATATCCCACTCGTCTGCAGCTGTACAAAGAAACTTATTCGTTGTCACGTGTCTCTGTAACAATCACATATTTTAAAAGCTATATATCGTTTTGGGATATTTTAACCCGTGTTCGTTTCTCAACTGATCACTTGGATTGTTTCAGGTGTTTCACATAGGTGTCAAGTCTCAAGGGTCAGCTGAGAAAGCCCACGTGACAACTATTTTCATTACGTCCACAGTTCCTAAAAAATCCATTGAGTGATAGATAACAATGATCAATCAATCAACGTATAAGCAGTTAACCCTTTGAACAAAGTATGTTGTTTTTACATCGGCACTTCACGCCATGATATGAGTGTATTCCCTTTGTTTTAGTAAACCTAGACATGTAAACACTCACTTTTGACATATCCACTGTGCAAGATAACAGTGATTAATCAATCAACGTATTTTCTGTTAATCCTTTGATGACTAGGAACGATCCGTTGATTTACAAAAAAAGGAAATCAACTGATCATTCACCTCTTGCTGGTCTGCAACGTGCATATTACATAACACACATTTCACCTCACTTCAAACCTGGATTTAGATTGAATTATTACCCCAGACACAATAAATGCCAAATGGGAACCTTTGTCAGGTAATCTAAGTGGTTCTACCACTAATTGTACCTGTAATAAATTCATTAACTGAGCATCAAGTGAATGACGACAAATACACAAGTGTAGGGTTATACGAGAAAACGTGGATGACAACAAGGGAGTAGATATCGTATTATCGACGCAATCCGAAATCCGAAAATGCTTTCACTGCATGGATACTTTTTTTAGTATTAAACTATGACCATCTGGGGTATTTCCAAATGACGACATCCGATGAGCTCCGCCGTTCTTTTTGTCTGTTTGTTTAGGTTGAAGAAATTAATTAACATGCGCCCTTTGTCGAAATCTTTATAGATCACGGTTAACCAATCAGTGTTTATGCAAAAATGCGTAAAACAAATATTGCCTCCAGCCTCCAAGTTTATTTAGCTGTCCTTGCAGACGGTACCCCAGTCTCTGGTCACGCTCAGTTGCGTTGCGTATCATCCGGGTACTCACGGGGAAAAAAACAATAACAAAGGCAACAACCAGTCCGGGGAATTCCGTTAGATCAGTGCCCCTTTAAAATAAACTGTAATCTCTCCTTGCACTTGTATGTTTGCCTCTTACTTTGTTGCAGGAGAAACACAACCGGCATGTGAATTGCTGTAACCCATAACCACGCGATGTTAACAAGTCTTTTTATTGTTTGACAAATCTGTCATTCGGGAAGTTCAAAATAACGCGTAGAACACGTGAGACGCAAAATCAACATCAAAGTTGCATTAATGATTCAAAAGTATTTATATCAAACAATCGAAAGTTAATTTCCCTGATGCATTTCAGAATACATAAGTACATGTACAATCAATACCTATTTAATGATATTCATTAATATATTTTTATTCATGACTGAATGAATCAATAAAACCAATTTTCTTTAAAGTTGACGTTACTTAGAGTACCACACCCCAAGGGTTCAGTAGGTGTGGGCAGCTTTGGTCAATCGATGTATGACAGCTCCATATGTCTTGTGGATTCGAAGGAGAGGTCACAAAGTTTTTCATCAAGGAGGGGTGGACAGACGAGGAATAACGCGACACACCACAAACTGAATTGAACTTTCAGTTGACATGAGCTAAATTTAAAAGTACACTAAGTCCCCGATGATGCCGATTGATGATGCCGATTGCGTACGTTACCACCACCGCTTGATCCCTCCGTCTAATAGTGCATCGTTTCTCGCCTTTCTCTAATACGACAAAAAAGGGACAAATGTAGTCTATCAAACACTATTTGCCCCGTTCCTGTCTGTATTTCCCGCGCGCGTTTTCTTTATACGGTACATGTTCAGTATATTCGACACCATTTTCATAATGTCGTACGGTTGTACTTGCTCTGGTTTCATTTCTGCGATATTTCTCATAATGCTTCCGGAGTTTGCACGGTCCTTGTCTTGTGACGATAAAAATGGTTGCATAAAACTCTTGATATGGGATTACCTCAAAAACAGTTGGTGCCTTGAATAACACTAATTGTCGCCATGCTACATGCTGTAGAAATGAATAAATGCTGAAGTATATTCTGCGTACTCCAAAATCATAAGCAATTAAATTTTAACACAGATTAACATTAATCTATGTAAATAATCCAAACATGTCAGCCCAGTCGTCTTATGGTCGAATAATATTGTTTTATGCTTGTATATAAATTGATTGTACCAGGTCAAGTGAACATTGCGGAAATATAGAATCTGAATCCTTGTCTGGCCACGGTTATTTATTTACACAGTTTATCAAGCAGTCTTTTTGAGAGTTGGAAACCGTCGCAAATATTCGATGTATTTCTTTTAGATAAAGATTATGTATTTTTCACTGCTTCAAGACATACACTTTCTTGCTAATCTAAACAGCTGTTCGAAACGGATAAGTAGCTCAACAGTAGAAGTGAAGCTCACTCACTTACTCTCCTACAGCAATATCTCAAATCAAAGCGGTATTATTGTATTACTGTGTACACGTAACTGGTCTGATGGACTATATTGCTGACCATGGAATATCGAACATGCAGCTATTTGAACTCGCATGGTTGGTGCGAATGTAATCTGACTGATTGTGTGCATCGGACCCCGATAGCAGGGCCGTTTCTCGTGATTTTCTCATACCGGTTTGTGTTACCCTGACTCGACGACATCTAAACTACGTAAATATATTCATTAACGTACTTTATTCAACATATAAAGACTGCGTACACGTGTGCACGGTATGTAGATTGTTCGTTCACCGACTTCGTGAAGATACCGCTATATCTAGATTTCTGACTCATTCTGATCATGTCCCCATGTATAATGCAGGAACATCATTCCCAGTTGTTTATTGCTTCCCCACATATCATAACCACGGGGACATACAAGGCCATTGATGGTTATATCGGGAGACTACCGGCGTGTGACTCAACCTGCCTACAGTGATCGTCTGCTTAATGGAGGCTAGTGTTCGGAATGTAACGATTCAGACGGGTATTATTGATATGAGAAGGAAAAGCTGTAAAATATGATTCCGCTATGGAGTTATTTAGGCGGACATAGGTGGGAAGACTATAAGAGTGAGACTATTCTGCATCGGATCCTATTAAAGTAAAGCTGCAGTATTGATCAACGTCGCTGTCACAGACTTGGCTGGATTAACATGTTGTCTATCTAATTACATCTGCGTTCTAGTTCTGTTTGCATAAATCGCAAAGAGGTTTTATTGTCCAGAACTTTATGACAGTGTATGGTCCCTGCTCAGCTGGATAGGATAAGGAACACCAGTGCTGAAAGTAACATTAGTAAGTACAACATGCTTTCTTGTCTTCTTAGTCTTCCGGAGGTCACCCTCAATTGCACATTAACTACCAACAGGGGCGTTACGACCTCAAGAGCTGCGAAGTGAACGCCTCGTCACGGGAATTCCCTGGTATAGTATTGATTTTTACATTTTCATTGTCACTGCCTGAGGTATAAACAGGATGGAGGGAAAATACCGTAATGTATTTCTCTATCACCGCGTCCGGGGTAATTATTGAGATATGTCGTTTTACACGTAGCATGCATTGTTCATTATATATATATATATATATAATGAACAATGTTTTCGATTATAAAACTCAAAGATCAGGTTTTCACTCGTAAGGCCAAAACTGCAGTTCGTCCCCCACCAACAAATACTCCATTGTGTAGTTATTTGCAAATAACGCAATACTCTGAACACATACACACAAAACTTTGTAGAAGCATGAAGATGTGATGGACTCTCAGTTATCAAAACTGGATGACGACATTGCAGTGAGCTATGCACAGAAAAATGTTGTTCAGTGTTTGAGAATGTAAAGAGAATGCTACACGAGCATTCGTTACCATAGAAACTTCAACAGCTTTGTTTGTACGTAACGTGAACGTGAACAAATGACTGTAGCATTATGTTGTATTCAAATGTATATACAAATGACAATTCCAAATCTGTTTGCGCAAACTATGTTCACACTAGGGCACTGTCAACATGTCTGCACAGACGCATTAATGAAATATTAAGGCCTTGTTATTGTGAGTGCAAATAACAATGGCATCTTTGTTGTAATTAATATATCGAACAGGGCCCCTCTTTGACTCCCGGACAAGTGGGTCACTCACCCCATTTAGCATTCATAGTTTACATCCTGATATTTGAAAAGAGAAATACAAAATCACCAACGATCAATCAACCGCCCTATATTGAATAAGTAAAAATCTTTAAAATAAAAGTTAATTTATTTATTTCATTTTCATTTATTTTATGTCAGTGACGATTTCAAGTGGAGGGTAAGGTCACAAAGAGAATATAAACAGAAAATCGTGTTGAACACACGACGTTCTAAACGAGAGTTCATAACGTAATTTTCCAGTTCATATTTCGAACATTTTGTTCCACAAAATATTATATGAGGCACATTATTACGGAGGTTGTATTCGACTTGAAACTGGATGGTTCTGGCTTTTCGACCTGAATGTACAAACTTTTCAACCATATATATTTTCTGAAACTTAACAAACCAGAGGCTGATAGCACAGCCTGGACAAAATGAGTAAATGGCTTCATTTCGTCACATTTCGTTAACATTAAATCATTCTTCATTGTCTAATTTGCCCAGGATCGTGTGCCCCGAAGGCGGTGGCTCATCTGGTAGATTATTTTGTTCTGCAGGAGTATAGCATTCCTGTTTCCCTATGGTGTTAGTTTGCTGGAATACCGCTTGCATATGGCATCGCCCTGGTTGGCTCTCCGGGGTGGTCAGGGAACAGGTTTGCATTAGTTGTTCTCAAAAACCAAAACAGCAACTATCAGAATCTGATTCTGAACTTGATTTATTTGATGATGAAACAGTAACAAAATTATTGTATTCGGAAAGGGATACTTGTCATGGAAGCTAAGGGTGACCATTTCTTTTAGAAAAAGGACTTTAAGGTAAAGCTGGTGAGTTGAAAGATGTACGCAAATTACGTTCTGTTGCTCTTTTGATAGAATGTACTAGAAAAACACAAGCCATCAACTTGATGACTTCTTCAAAACTAGCTGATCTCTTTGTCAGCTGTTCTGCACACGAGACCCTTAATTTCAGCAAAGGCTTAATCCGTGACCGCGATCGGTCCAGCTGTTGAGACCATTGGCGAAATGCTATCAGGACTTCACAGTCAATGTGTGATGGAAGCAAAACGATTCACATATCACAAAGATGGCCGTTCGTTTCCATCCAACACGTATCTTCTTACTTTTGATAATATAGTACTACCAAGTTCAATTAAAGTTGGTTGTTTTCCCATGCCTGTGGACCTCTACATCCCACGGCCTGCTCGCTGTTTCAAATGTCAGAAATTTTGACGTGGTCAGAATTCCTGTACACGTAACGCTACTTGCCTAAAATGTGGTGAGATGGTTCATGACAGTAATACCTGCACTCAGCCATTGAAATGCTGAAACTGTCAGGGCGATCATATGTCCTCTTCAGCTGACTGCAGTGAATATAAGTTTCAATCAAACAGTTAACAAAATATTACATATAAACAACACATCAGCCACTCTGATGCCAGGAAACAAGCAAAGGCAGTCACACCCGCTAATACTACAGGACATTCTTATGCTTCTGTAGTTAAACCAGTTACGGTTCAAACAATATCAGTTCACTGTCAGACAGATCTGTCATGGACAGTAGGAGACACGCAAAAGCAAGTTTCTAACATCGAAACTCATCAACCTAAAAGATAGTGCTCCAATATCAACGCAGGAAGCATCTACATCAACATCGCCTGAAACAACCCCCCAACAATAGCATTCAATAATGTTCAAAGTTAAATAAAGAACAATCAAACTGACCGAGTGTCAAAAGCACTCAAAGATCGCGTACAACTCAACAGCAAGTATGGGTCGCTCGAGGATATGAATATGGAAGTATCCCCTCACATACACAGTGGTGGTCGTACACGTGCACACTCTCCCAAAGAGAAAGACAGGAGTGTTACTCCACCTTCACCAGTAACACACATCACTTAATTCAGACATTTCTTAATGAGTTACAGCTATATGCCAAAACTATGCGCGCCATCAGCAATCTGTCTCCAGGAGACATATCTTAGCAGACCGACAACTTGTATTTGCGTCAGTACACTTCTCCGCCGGGTAATAAAGCGACTGGAGGAGTTACTGTTTTGGGGAAACAAGGAGTGAACCCCCCAGCCCTATTTCACTTCATACTTATCTTCAAGCTTGTGCAGTACGATTGACATAAAAGTGACTTTGTGCTCTTTGTACATTCCACCTTCGTCTGCTCTTCAAACGTCTGATATTCAGAAGCTATATGAATAGCTTCCTAAGCCCTGCATCATCTTGGACGATTTAAAATCGCATAACTCTCTATTGGGAAGTGCAAGTACCAACAATTAGGGGAAAGTCATTGAAGATTTTGTTTCTGATAATATTTTATGTATATTTAATGACGATTCGATTTACATCCTGCCATTGGAACCTATTCTGCCCTTGATCTGTCCCTTACAGATTCAGATGTTTAGAATGAATTTGAATGGTCCGTAAATGACGACCTTTGTGGAAGTAATCACTTTCCTGCTGTCCCAAAAGCTATAAAACTGGATGATGACCCACCTTCATCGCGGTGGAATTTTACAAAGGCCAATTGGTCCTTGTAAGGAAATATTATGCAATGAAAAAATTAAACCTGACAATTTCAGAAATGGGCAAGGTCCCATCCAGTTGTTTTCGGCTCAACTAAATTAATATTGCTGACCAAACAATTCCTAAGTCCTCTGCAAATCTTCACATTCGTCAACCATGGTTTGTTAATAACTGCAAACAAGCAAGGAAATGTAGGAAGAAAGCGGGAACATGTTTCCGCAAGCATCCTAGTGTTCATAACTTGAATAATGTGAAAATTACAAGCGCCAAGGCACGACGTACTTACAAACAAAATAAGCGCCAATCGTGAAGGAACTATGTCTCAAAAATTAATTCACGCACCCCCATGTCAAATGTGTGGAACATGGAGCATTAAAAAATAATTAAAAGGCAAAAGTTCCAAAGCATCAGTAGACCATCTTAAAGACGATGACAATTTAATAACTGATAAATCGGATATGTTTTACCAAATGTGGACTTCAGGGAATTTTCCTCTTTCGTTGCTAAATGCCATTGTAGTCCCCATACCAAAACCTGGCCGGGGTCATACAGATCCCTCAAATTATCGCCCTATATCTTTAACAAGTTGTGTTTGCAAAACCATGGAAAGAATGGTGAATGAGATTATTTTGGTATCCGGAAACCAGTAATCTTCTCAGAAATATTCAATGTGGTATCCGTAAAAATAGAAGTACTATTGATCATTTAGTACGATAGAACCCTTTGATAAAGATGCTATAGTAAATAAACAACAAGCAGTATCAATTTTCTTCGATCTTGAGAAAGCATACGATACTACGTGTAAGCATGTCATTTTAAAGTATTTACATGATTTTGGCTTCAAAGGTCGTTCACTTAAACTTAATATCACAGTTTTCAACAGACAGGCAATTTCAAGTCCGCGTGGGTACAATCCTGTCTGACCATGATAATCAGGACCAGAGTGTCCCGCATGGCAGTATTTTGTCTGTCATTTTATTTAGTATTGAAATAAAAAGTCTGTCCAAGGTTTTAAGTGATTCAGTAGATGGGTCACTTTTCGTGGATGATTTTAATATTTCTTGTCGTGGTAACAATATGCATACAATAGAGGGGCAGTTGCAAATCTGTTTCACAAAAAACACAAGTGGTTCCTTGAAAACGGGTTTAAAGTTTCTAAATCGAAAATTAACTTTAGATTTCTGCAGAAAATATAAGCCACATAAAGACCCTGAATTACTTACCCCTATCAAAATTGTTAAGGAGGCGAAATTCTTGGGACTCATCTGTGACAGCCAGTTAACTTTCTTACCACATATTAAATCACTTAAAGCTAAATGTCTGAAGGCACTCTATTCTTTGAAAGTTGTATCTAATTCAAAGTGGGGAGGCGATCAGACAACCCTCTTACACTTATACAGGTCACTGATCCGTTCAAAACTTGATTACGGCTCCATCGTCTTTGGTGGAGTATGTAAATGTAATTTGCGAAAACTAGATACCATCCATCATCAAGGCCTCAGGCTTTGCCTTGGAGCCCTTCGAACTTGCACTAATCCTATTCACAGTATGTGGGGGCGAATGAGCCACACCTTAAACAACGCCGTCTGAAATTATCCTCACAATTCATCAGCAAATTATATTCTGATC